AAAGACAAATTGGTTCGTAATTCGGAAGGGAAAGTATGTAGGAGACGATGGTGTTGTTCTAAAGAAGGTTTGAGAAATGAGAAGTTTAATGATCGATCGGATATGATTCGACAACCAAAGCCAATTACAAGAGAGAATTGTCCTGCCCATTTTTGGGTGGGTTATGAGAAGAAACGTGATATTTACATCGTTACGAATTTTGAACCACATCACAATCATCAACTAGTTACTCCACTTGAATAATCATATCTCCGATGTAACCACGTGGTTCGAAATTCCAATTTAGCACAAGCAGTGGGAATGCGAAGAGCATTAGTTAGAACATGTCATACATATGAGTATATGTTCAACCAATGTGGCGGGTATTTAAATGTTGGTTTTCAAATAAAGGATTTGTATAATAATTTGGATGCATCACACAGGGAAATTTTGCTCGACAGTGACACAGAAGCCGCAGTCTCTTACTTGAAAGCGAAAGGAGCAATGGATCCAGAATTCTTTTGTAAGTTCAGTGTTGATGAGGAAAATAGGCTTGGTAATTTGTTTTGGAGGGACTCCACTTCACTTTTGGATTACATTGCCTATGGCGACGTCCTCATATTCGACAGCATGTACAAAACAAATGTTTATGACAAGCCCCTAGTGCTGTTTGTCAGTTTGAACAACTACCGTTCTACTGTAATGTTTGGTTGCACATTATTGCAGGACGAGACATTTGAAACTTACAAGTGGTTATTGGAAACATTCATGGCATCCATGAAAGATAAGAATCCAATATCAATATTGACGGATGGCGATGAGACGATGCGTAAAGCCATTGATTATGTGTTTCCCATGTCTAACCATCGGTTGTGCTCATGGCATGTGTCAAGGAATGCACAGAATAACTTGAAGGATGATGAATTGCTAAGAAATTTTCAAGCATGTATTTGGGAACCATTTGCATTGGACGAGTTTGAGAAGAAATGGGAGGTAAAGAGTGAGTACTTCAAAGAAAAAAAGAATGGTTGGAAATGATGTATGCAAAAAGAGACTCATGGGCTGAATCGTGTCTTAGAGGAAAGTTTTTCAGTGGTATGTGCACCACTCAACGCGTGGAGTCCATGAACAAGTATGTGAAAGATTACTTGAAGAAAGGCGTGAAGTTGTTTGAATGTATTCCAGCAATTGATAGGGCTATGTTATGTCTTAGGAATACCACGGCGAAGGATGGTTTCAACGCAAAGTACTCAACACCAGTCCTTAAAACCGCATTGACAAAACTCGAGCAACAAGCTTCTCTGATTTACACGCATAGGTGCTTTGTATTGGTACGTCATGAGATCAAATCTTGTTCAATACTCACTCATGATAATGTGATGCATAATTTTGGAGGTTATGTATACGTATTGTCAAAATATGGTGAACTGCATAATAATTGGACTTGTGTTTACCACGGTGGGGAAAATATGCGGATAGAGTGTGGATGCTGGAAATATGAAAATGAAGGGATCCCGTGTGGCCACCTGTTTTATGTAATGAAGTGCGAGCACTTTATGGAAATTCCTCCAGCGCTCATAATGAAGAGATGGACAAAGAGTGCCCAAAGTGATACATGTAAGGAATTTATCGGCGAAGTCGAAGGCACTACCAAAGAAGTTATAGAAATGGCGAGGTATGGAAGTTTAAGTGCTATGTCAAACAAAGTATGTTTTTATGCATCGAAGAGTGAAGATGGTTATGCCATGTTGACGAATGAGTTTAGTAGATGGGAGGGAATTTGTGAAGGCTTACGGCAAAAGGAAGAAAAGACAAGTCTAAAATTGGGTAGTGCTGGGCAATGTCCTCCAAATATTGTGGAAGATCCAAAGATCGTTAGGACAAAAGGCACTCAAGCAAGCCAAGGTGGAACATGGAAGCGTCGACAATGTCATTTGTGTCACGGATATGGACATACAAAGTGTAATTGCTCTCAAAGAAACTTGCATCCAAGTAGAAATGCAGGTGTGAATATCCCTTCAGGTAGTGAAAGCTATCAGTATAGTTCGGAGGAAGGGCCGTCCCCAGACATTAGCTACAGTTATCCTAGTCAAACGGTTTCTCAATGCAGAGGCAACTATGTGGTTGATTTGTCTGGTTCTGATAATTTTTCTACTACAGACCCAACCGGTTCTATCCCCAACAGTGATGATGGTTTCTCATTCGACAATGGTGAACCTATTTCCCTATGTACTGGTTCAACCCAAAACAATTGTAGTTTTGGAACTTGGTTTACATGTAACAATTAACATTAAATGTAGATTTAGTGATGGACAAGATGCTTTCATATGATTGATATATTATTGTTTTATGTATATATTGTTGAGAAACGATTTTATGACTTGTATGGGGTGCTTGGATGGAAGTTTTATGTAGGCGGAGGTGATCCGAAATACATTGCATTAGAAAGGGTAAGGGGCAATTATTTGAACATATTAGAATCGGTAAAGACCAATTATCTGAAAATACTTGGTATTAGAAATTTGTTGGCCCGAAAGTGCAAATTACATTCCAAAATATAGCCAATTTCGTAAACCATAATTGGTTAATCCTATTTTTTAATCATATCATAGGGTCATAATGAAATTGTTACTTGCTTTTGTTGTTCTTTGCTATATACATTCATTAGGTTCGCGTTTACGGTCTGAATAGGTTTGTCTACAGCTGGTCGGCATTTGCATTGCAAACATGTAATTGCATGACGGTGATGCAATGCAAGAGTGACTGTGCGCAAACCCCTAATAAGGAAAAATGGATCATATTTTATTGTACGGGCAGAATTATACATATTTTTTATAACTATAAATCGAAGGGTGAAATGAACCGAAATATAGAGCCTGAGAAACGGTAAGGGGCAATAATCTGAACATATTATTTTACAAAACGACCAATTATCGAAATTACCTAGTAATAGACATTGTCATGTACCACAAATCACATTCCAAAAGATCCCGAATTTCTTAAAACAAAATGTGATTAACCCTAATATTGAATAATAGACATAGGGTCATAATAAACTATTTACTCGCTTTTCTTTGTTTTTTCGTTATACATTAATTTGGTTTGCGTTTTTAAGCTATGTTTAGTTTGCACACAGCCGGTCGGCATTTGCATTCGAAACATGCAATTGCATGACAGTGATGCAATGCAAGAGTGACTGTGCGCAAATCCTTAATAATGAAAAATGGATCATATTTTATTGTACATGCATAATTAGATCTTTTTTTTTTTTACTATAAATCGAAGGACGAAATGAACTAAAATATAGAGCATGAGAAACGGTAAGGGGCAATAATCCTTTAATTTTTAATTTCAAAACGACCAATTACACGAAATTACCTAGTAATAGAAAGTGTCATGTGGTGCGAATCACATTCCAAAATATCCCGAATTTCGTAAACAAAAATGTGATTAACCCTCATATTGAATAATAGACATAGGGTCATAATAAAATTTGGAACTTGCTTTTCTTTGTCTTTGCGCTATACATTAATTAGGTTTGCATTTTTAAGCTATGTTTAGTTTGCACATAGCCGGTCGGCATTTGCATTGCAAACATGCAAATGCACGACGGTGATGCAATGGGAGAGTGACTGTGCGCAAACCCCTAAAAAGGAAAAATGGATCATATTTTTTTATACAGGCATAATTAGACCTATTTTTTGTACTATCAATTGAAGGGCACTGTTATCTGATATAGAGCATGAGAAACGGTAAGGGCAATAAACTGAACATATTATATTACAAAACGGACCAATGATCCTAAAAATTTAATCGTATCCATAATTTACTTGGTTTTCTTTCTCTTTGGGGTACGTGAATGAACACTTTTCTCAGCTTTGCGTTTTTGGTTTGTGGAGTGTTGTTTTGCATCTGGATTACCCTTAGTTGCGGCCCCGTCCTCATCCTCATCCTCATCCTCATCCCCAACCTCTTTCTCTTCGATCCAAGCTTCGTCTTCATTTTCCTCTTCCTCTTCTTCCTTTTCTTCTTCCTCTTCCTCATCTTCTTCATGCTTTTCTAGTACCACAATTTTGGTTTTTCCTTTTCTACCTATGTCATGTTTAAATTTTGTGTGAAACTCTTACATACAGGGAAACATTGACAGATATAAATAATCAATTTTGTTGTGCACACGAGTGATGATGGTTTGCATTGCAAATGTATTATTTAAAATTGCAAAATTGAACATCATATAAATCGAACTTTACAATGGAGGTAACAAACTTACATGTTCTGCATCATCAGTTAAGACGTCTTCACCAATACCCGAACTTGCAATGGTTGTCCCCGTGGTATTCTTCAATATCTCCTATTACAATATAACATCGTTCATGTTCATTCATGGTATGTTATTTCAATATAACATCGGTGATGTTTGTTAATTTTATGAAATCACTATGAAATGAAGCTGAACTGACTCACAATCTCTTGCCGTAGGCGCCTGATCTATATGCTTGCTTCCAATGAAGTTGAAAATAGTAGGGCATTCAACCCAGCATTCAGCTCCAAAATCTTGGTTGCAGCTTCGGCAGTTACCTACATTCAGGCACATGCAATTACAACAATCACCACATGAAGCCATCAATTATGAATAAATTATGCAATGGAAACTATTTACATGCATTACACTATCAGGTAATGGTAGATCAGGGCTATCTTGCCCACAGGGTATCCGCACAAGTTTACTTCCATTTTCGACGGCCCACCGTGGTATTCGCACTGACCATGGTTGAGGAGAGATGTTTCCTACCCTTATATTGACCCCTTTGGGAGTTCTATGTTGTCCCTCCCGTGGAATTGAGGTATCATGTTAGATTTTTGAAAAATTATATCAATTTAATGTAGGAAGTGTAAGTACATAACACATGTTCAGTGTAGAACGTACCGCTTCACGTAAGTCCTCATAGTAGCGGTACCTTATGTACTCATTTCCGTACTGGGCATAGTCGGATGAATTTACAAGCCATTCTGAAGCTGGGTACCCATTAGCAGCTCTAGTTGCCTGCTCTGCAACATTTGTCGCCATCTCATCAGCTGCATCCTCATCAACATCATCCTCCTTGGCTACTGTCTCGTCAGCCACCTACTCTTCAGCTGCCTCTATGTCTACATCATTGCATGTTAGGGCAGAACGTCTCGATGTCTTCATCTTCAATGGAATAACAAGGAGCGGCCCCACTTTTGTAGTCCAAGTAACCCAGCTTGTATGTGTCAATAACGGCCTCAAACTTAGATTGCTCAACAGCTTTATGATAGGCTTCAAACTTGGCTAGAAGCTTGTTATAGTTTCAAATCATGTTAGCATTCTTGCACTTGAGATGGAAGAAGGCTTCCTTGAGTCTATGTAGGGCAACGACAGAAGAGTTGGGTTCACTTTCTTTTTTAGCAAGGGAACTCTTCAGCACAGATATGCTCTCCTTCATTTCTGACACCTCATTTCATAGAGGATCTTCTCGACTGAGAGCTTGCCAGTCAGACAAACTTACCTGGATAAGACTTGAAAGAAGAAGTCTTCAAATCTTACCTGGATAATCATATAAAAGAAATTATTCACATTAGGATATTGACAATCGGATTCGATGATCAAATAATGTGAATAAGGAGTATTGACGTAAGAGAAAGATTCAATTGCATGGTCATTCCAATTTGAATAGGTTCTTTTACAACGTCTCATTTAGCTCAGATAACTGTGACTTGCTGCTAGGCGACAACCTTGCTTAGGAAGAATTCATTTATACATTGGATGTGCAAGGATAGGCTCAAACATGGACCAACATTCTATTATGATGAGGTTCATGATTGTATCACTATACTTTGCAAGAATGGTGGGCTAATACTTAACTAGTACAATGGTGCCTCATGATAATATTCGGGGGTATACATTTGCTAAAGGCCAAATTATATGGGAACTCACATCATGATGTGAATGAATAGACGGACTCTTTCTTTATTATTTATGTTATCCCTAGATCCTATTATGGTGCGGTGATCCAAATAATAAGGAGCCTCCATCTCGCTAAGAGACATCTTACAGAAGTTTCTCGTATTCCATTTTTTAGGGATTATGGAAATCGTTTAAAGTAGTGGGAGGAGCCTCAATCCATGGCCTTAACCAAAACAATCTAATTTTATTTATGTTATGTTTGTAGATAAATCTGTAGAACCTCATTCATAACACATTACACAAAGCAAGCCTCAAATGAACCATATAATGTCAAAAGGGATTAGCTTCCATAAAGATGTTAAAAGGAAGAAGAGATGTAATGTACATCTTTTATGCACAAGGAATAAACTTATGAAGAGAGCAATTTTGTCCTTAAGTCAGTAATGGCGGTTGAAACTTCCACCTGGATAATGGATTCAAGAGCTAGCAGACACGTTTGCAATACATTGCAAGGTCTAGCATATTATAGGAAGTTGTCAAACTGAAAAATAGTGTTGTGTGTCAGTAATGGTACCCAAATATCTGCAAAAGTAGTAGGAACTTTCCACCTTAAGCTACCACATGGGGAGACACTTGAACTTAAAGAATGTCTTTGTCTTCCAAGTTGTGTAAAGAATCTAGAATCTGTTTCAGCATTGCTGAATGAAGATTACACTGTCACATTCAATAGAATGGGATGCTCTTTACAACAAGGCAATCAAATCATATGTAAATGCACTATAATCAATGGTCTCTACCAAATTCAAATTGTGGAAAATAGCAACTACTTGATTGAGATGCCAAGACCTCAGAGGCCCAGAGAAGAACTCAATTCAACTCAATTTTGGCACAAGATAGGATCCAAGGAATGGTCAAACAGGGATACCTTGAATCTTTGGGTTCAGTCCCTATGCCCACCTGCGAATCCTATCTTCAAGGAAAAATGTCAAACTTACCTTTTTCAGGAAAATGGGATGAGCTTCTTGAATTAATCCACACTAATGTATGTGGGCCATTGTCCACTACATCCAGGGTGGCTTTTCTTACTTCATTACGTTCACCGATGATTACTCTCGGTTGGGCTATGTTACCTAATAAAGTACAAGTTCGAGGCGTTTGAAAAGTTTAACGAATTCAAGAACGAAGTTGAAAAGCAAACAGGAAAGAGTATCAAGATTCTAAGATCAGATCGAGGAGGAGAATACTTGAGTACTAAGTTTCTTGAATATCTCAAGAAACATGGCATCCTATTTCAGTGGACTTCACCTGGAACTCCACAACTTAATGGTGTCTCCGAAAGGAGAAACCGAACATTGACGGACA